CAAGGCTTCTGGCAATACTTGCTTCAATCTTGTCGGCTGCAGCTGCACAAGCAAAGGGACAGAAGAACGAGAGCATGCACAAGGGCACAAGCCATCATGTCGGCGGCACTGGTCACTACTTTCCTTTCGCACTCACACGGACTCCAAGCACCAACAACTCATGCATTCACAGGCTGCACTTGCACAGATACTATTTATTTGCACACAGAGGCCTTGCCTCCAGAGCATACACACACACAAGGCTTCTGGCAATACTTGCTTCAATCTTGTCGGCTGCAGCTGCACAAGCAAAGGGACAGAAGAACGAGAGCATGCACAAGGCTCAAGGGCACAAGCCATCATGTCGGCGGCACTGGTCACTACTTTCCTTTCGCACTCACACGGACCCCTCCAAGCACCAACAACTACATTCATTCACAGGCTGCACACAGTTTTCCACACAGAGGCAGCAGGAGCAGCAGCAGCAGCAGGAGGAGCAGAGAGAGCAGAAGCAGGAGCAGGAGGGGAGCAGGAGCAGGAGCAGCAGGAGCAGCAGCAGGAGCAGGAGCAGGAGGGGAGCAGGAGCAGGAGCACCAGCAGCACGAACAGTTGAATTGCACTGATCAACTGCACACACAAGGCTGGCTGTAAAAGCACACACACATTGCATGACTGAGCACAGACAGATACATTACATCACTGCAATAGCTTTCTGCACACAGAAGCCTTGCTCCAAGAGCCCACATATACAAGGCTATCTGCACATACAAGGCAGCACAGTTTACACCCACCCATCACCCACTTCCCCCCTGAGCCCAGTTTTCAACCCGACCACCCCCCCTCCTCCCCTTTCCTGTCACTTTTGCACGAAATTTTGCATAAAAACCAAAAAAATTCTCGCTTCGCGAACCCAGCAAAGACTGTCAATTTTCCACACACATACAATGGCTTTTGAGTCATGCACGAATACAACGGCCTCCGGCCGGCCGGCCGCCCGGAGGCCGGCTTTCTTTTTATAAAAAAGACATCTACCTAGGGTATTTCGGCGAAAATCGCGTTTTTTTCAATTTTGATAGGAATGCTCAACATCCACTTTGTTCATTAGCAAAACCTATATGTTTCAATGCAAAAATTCAAGATTTTTGCATTCCCTAATGGATCTCGAAAAAGTGCCAAAAATGCACTTTTTGGGGCAGCATCTTTTGTGCTATTTTTGATAGGTAGGGCCCAAAAACTTCCGACCTCAATTTGTTCCTTAGCAAGCCCCTTACTTTTTCATACGAATTTGGCGCTTTGGGCTCTTTGCATGGAAATTCAGCTTTTGGGCACTGACACCCCTCCCCTTCAGACCCCATTTTTTTTGAGCCTCCAGACCCCTGTCTCGCCCCTTTCCTCCCACTCTGACCATCGTCCTTTCCGGGACACCCCCCAGCCTTCCCTATTCAAAACCTGATATTTTGCAATTGGAAGTACCGTAATCCAAGTTAGGATCCCTTTTAGGGTACTTATAACTCTGCTTACGACCTACTTGCCAAGTCCCCCGACCCTCCAAGTACACTACATGGTTATAAGAGCCCTTGTAGTAATCCTTATAAACCCATTAACAAAAAACCTTAATGGAACCCTAACAAGGTTTCTTAATCAGGTTCCTACATTAATCCACTTACATACCCTATAGAAACCCTTATAGAACCCTTTAACCAAGCCTTTTTTTAGAGTCGCCCTGTTCAAATTACGAAGGCCCCTTTTTTTATCGAAAGCAGAAGCTGCCCGGGAGGGAACCTAAACCCCTAAACCCCAAGCCCCTAAACCCTAAACCCTCATTAAGGGATCTACTTTTTGGATCCTCCCGGTTGAAACCCTGCAGGCCCTAGAACCCCAACGCCCTAAACCCTAAGCCTCAACCCCAAAATCTCAGAGCCCTAAACCCCCAGACCCTGAACCCGAGACTCCCTAAACCCATCTACTTTTTGGATCCTCCAGAAGGGGGTCTGGGAATCTCGTTCGAGGGACCGATCTCGCGGGCTTTCTGCCGGATTTCCTCTCGGAGCCACTCAAGAAAAGGGATTTTGTTGGGCTTAGGGTTTGGGTTTTAGGGCGTTTTGGGTTTAGGGTTTGGGTTTTGGAGTGTTTAGACCCAAGAGTGACGAGCTAAGGGTTTAGGGTTCTTTATGGTATAGGCGGTTCTAGGTTTGGGTTTAGAGAACTCAAGCTGAAGAAAAGGGAGTTTTTTGGGTTTAGGGTTTGGGGATTAGGGTTTAGGGTTTTGGAGTGTTTAGGTGACGAGCTAAGGGTTTAGGGTTCTTTATGGTATAGGCGGTTCTAAATTTGGGTTTAGAGTACTCAAGAAACAAGAGTTTTTGTTGAGAGCTCTTCTAGACCCAAGAGTAACATTGCCCTTTTTGGTTTCAAGGGGCTTATAAGGGAACCTGAAACCCTATGCCTACTCTAGGTCCTAATCTTTTGCGCCTGCACGAAGGTAAGGGAGTTTGGCGCTTAGGGTTCTTTAATCAGGGCTTTGGGTTCATTAGGGTACAGGCTGTTTAAGCTTTGGGGTTTGGGGTCAAAAGTTCCATCTCAGGGGCTGTTCATTTCATATCGGGGCCGTAAGAACTAGAACAGGGTTCCGGTAAGTGTCTTGAAGGATTCTTCAAATGTTCTTTTAAAAGGGGATACTATACGGGTTAAATCATAGGGGCAAGAATAATTTCAATGGGCTCTGCACGTTATACGAGCAGCAAGATTCTATTGCGGAACTTCAGGAAATGAAGCCAGCAGGCGCCCATATTAAGCTTTCCGAGTTTGGTTTCGGGTTCTAGGGATTGCGGATTTGAGACCAACATCGCTTAGAAAGCCAAACGGTGCTCTGAAGAATCGAATAACCCGAATGTCACTACCATAACCTGCTGTTTTAGGTTCTTACTACAAATCCTAAAGTGGATTTTATAGTGACCCCACAAAAAAGTAGGTTTTGGTAGGTTAAGGCGGTTGAGGCAGGACTTATGAGGGGCGCAGCAAAGCCTAACTGAAGATAATCGCCCTGCGTGAGCCACTTTTGGATTAAGTGGGTGGGCGCCCCATTCACGAAGGCTTCGACGCCCTGTTGGCAGGCAGTTTGCGATAAGAGGAGGTTGCTGCAGGTCTGGGGCGCAACCTCAAAGCTTCGCAATGTATAGCCGTTGCAACGCTCATCAACGACAATGGTCGCCGCCGCCTCCAGCGGGGAATTGCACACCACTAGGAGTATTTCCTGAGTGTCGTCCGCGCTCGGTGGCTGCGCCGCCGCGAGCGTAATGTATACCGGTCCCGTAGGTGGGATGGTTTGTGCATGCAACATGCGCTGTATAATTGCATCGACTTGATGGCAAGGAGGGCAGATAACAGCGTTTTGGGATGTGTTGGGAGTGCTCACCGTAGAGTCAAGCGAGATGTGCCTAGCGAGCCGCCGGAGGGTTGGCGAAGGCAGCATATAGTCTCTTCGGCGAGCCAGATGTCTACGCCGCATTGAAGAAGCGGGTTCGTGCGGCTCAATGCGGCGGACCATCCATTCGTCTCTTTTACGCCAGCTGCGATGCGGATGGGCGTTTTATTATCCATTATGAGGTGCCCCATAATGGTGGCTGCGTTGAGCACTGCCGGCCAGTTCATGCCCTCGCGCAGGTCGGTGCAGGCTCAAGGGTCAACGGTTTATAGAGGCCTGCAGTGTTGATCTCTTTTGTAGCTTTGAACATGGTAAACCTCTACACCCATTACTTAGTAAGTAGGTTATAAGTAGAGTTGTAAGTACCCTAAATGGAGGTACCCCAATTAAAGCCCTAGTTATAACCCGACTTACGAAGTCGCCTGGGCCTCTAAGTAAAGGGAACCCCAAAGAATCATACCACAAAGCACTCGAGCCTCAGGCACCTGTATTTATTGTTCTGGGTCTCGGCATGTAGGGCTTGGAGTGTGTCCCCAACCATCAAAAACCTGACTCCTCCTAACCCTAAACCTGAAATCGGCCTAAATCAGACCCTACCCGTGACTAGCCGGGCCGAAAACCGTTCAAACTTAATAAAGATAGGCATACGATGGGCTATATGATATATATATATACACACACAAGGACCAAACCTTTCAAGTTCTCCCACTGCCATCGGCAGTGTAAAGTTATGGGCCATAGGCCAATCAAGGCTACAGTCTAAAATCTAAATAAGCATTCCTGAGGTGCAGGTAGACCCTGAGCCTCGTCACCCTGGCGCCTAAACCCTGACGGCCTAAACCCCAAGCTCGAGAAACCCAGCCAATTCAGGGAGTTTTGCAGTCAGCGGTTAAGGGCTTCAGGAACAGTTAGAACCTTAGTTTTTTCGATTTGGGTTTGTGAGCTCCAACTCCTCCATGGTGGCGTTCTTCTTGGTCTCAATGTCGTCCATGGTCTCCTGTGTCACCCAAAGGCTCCATGTACCTCTATCGTAGATACTTAAGCCTTAAAGGGGTCCCTATGTAGGTACTTTAAGGCCTACGTATATACTACATGGGCGCATATGGAGCCTTGGGGTCATGTCACAGAACAGTGCAGTCCAGTGGAGCAGCTTCTGTTTTGGGGACTCGAGAAAGGACACCGATTTACGAGGGTTCCCCTTCTTGGAGGCACAGGGAACTTTGTAAGTAGGTTATGAGTAGACTTAAAGTTGGGGTAACTCCATTTAGGGTACATATAACTCTACTTATAACCTACTTACCAAGTCCCCTGCCCCTCCAAGTTGTGCAGCACTCGAGTTCTTTTGCCAGCGGCGAGAAGGCAGGAGAAGGCTGGCCCGCTGTGGCTCGCAGAACCCTACAGTACCGTTCTACTTCCCTTGTCTAGTAAACTTGCGGCAACCTTATCGTAAACCTATAGTAGCCCTTTTTTTCTAGCTCCCTTTTCTAGTAACCTTACAGCAACCTTATCGTAACCCTATAGCCCTTGTAGAGCCAGGCAGTCGAGTGCAGCTGGGTGGCCGGCAGCTTGGAAAAAAACGACTCGCAAATATCATGCTCAGTCATGGCGCTGCCTTGCCAGCATCGTCCAAGCAGTAGTCCTTGCCAGCGCTGCTGCGTCCGGCTGCAGACATAATGTGGCATTTGTGTGCTCGGTTCTGAAAATGTGTAGGTATGTATCTAGATTTACATATATAAAAGTGTGTGTGTGTGTGTGTATGGTTGAAAAACGCACACCGTGAACCCTTAAGCCCGCAACCCTAAGAACCCTAAACCGTGAATGCAGTCCTTGCCAGAGTTGTTGTCCCAGGCATCGCCATTCGTAAAGACAAGCCTGGGTTTTTGCTTAGGGTTTAGGGTTGGGGGTTTAGAGCTCAAGTTATATCATGGAGATCTACCGTACATCGTATAGTCTCCTACTATCGATACTGCAAACCCCTAAGCTCTTGCCTTCAACCCTAACTCCTAAGCACCTCAACCCCAAACCTTAAAGCCCCTAACCCCTAAACCCTAACCAGAGCCCCAGAGCTTCATACCCCATAAAAGCCTAGCCCCCAAACCCCTAGACCCCAATCCCCCTAAACCCTAAATCCTTACAGGAAGCCGAAAAGTTTATAGACCCCCTCAATCCCGAAGCCACTAAACCCTCATAGGAAACCGAAAGAGGAACCCTATTCTAAACCCTAAACCCTAAACCCTAAACCCGAAGCCCGAAGCCCCCGAAACCTTTGAATTTAAAGAGCCGAGAAGCTTCATGCCCGAAGCACCGTCTGGGACAGATCCGAGGGCAGCCAGAACCTTCACGGTTTCCGGTGGGTTTCAAGGGAATTTAGGGTTTATAAGGGCTTATAGGGTCTAGAGTGTTTCCGGTGGGTTTCAAGGGAATTTAGGGATTAGGGCTTAGGGTCTAGAGTTAGGGTTTAGGATGCAAGGTTCCCCAAAAAGTTCCCTTAAAAAGGCTCCATAAAGGGCTAGGTCTGGGATCTACAGGAAACCTTCAGGCTTCCGGGGTTTGGGGGTGGGTTTACGGGCTTAGTTAAAAAGGGGGCTTTAGGCTTCAGGGTTTAGGGTTTAGGGTTCAGGGTTTAGGGTTTAGGGTTCAGGGTTTAGGGTTTAGGGTTTAGGGTAACTGGTCCTTCTAACAAGATTTGAAAGCTGTCCTCAAGATAAGGAAAATGGCACCCCCCAAAATTGGTTAAGGGCTACGTACTTACGCCTACTAAGCTGTTACTTCGATTCTCAACCCGAAGGGTGCTATGTACTGGTATGGGGGATACTTCCCTAGGCCATAATCGTAATTCCTAATATGGAAACCCTACATTCTACTATATCGGTACATAGGACCCTTTGGGCAAGCAGCTGGCTCGTCTCCTTCCGCAAGACCGATCCCAGACGGGAGCAGGTCGCACGTCTGCACGCCAGAAGACCAGTCATTGAAACCAAGATGCACCTGGCAGGTTTGGGGCTTACTCTAAGGCTCCAAGAGGGTCATGGGCTTTCTGGGAGAAGGCTTGGGCTTTGAGGGCTAAGGTTTGGGATCTCACTACGAGGGTTCAGGAGCCTTAAGGTAAGGGTTTAGGGTTAAGGGTTTAAAGGGTTTGGGCTTTAATTAAGCTTAACGCCGAAGCCCTGAAACCTCAAGCCCAAGGCCTGAAACCTTAATAAGACTTGGTTGCCTTCTTCGCCAGTAGGGGTTTCATGAAACTCGAGACTTAACGCTGAACCTAGACTCGAACCAACAAGCTCTCACGCCCAATTACTATCTATAAAGCCATGAAAGCCTAGCGCCTAAGCAAAACCAACAAAACACACGACAAAGATCTTGCAACCCTAACGACCCTAAAATCCCTGAGCAGCGTCTTTTAACAGTCCCCGTAACCCTAACGGCACCAAAATCCCTGAACAGAGTGCCTCACCTGGAAACGCTTGCTGTCGGGAAGTTTCACGACCCCTCTGCGCACGAACAGCTCAAAGGGTCCAGGTCTCAGAGGAGAGGGCCTTCCAAAGGCCAGCAGGGACTAAGCTTAGGGTTCAGGATTTTAGGATTTGGACTTTCGGTTAGGGTTTCGAGTTTATGAGTTTAGGGTTTAGGATTTCAGCGGGGAGTAAGCTTCGGGTTGAGGGTTCAGGTTTAGGGTTTCAGGATTCGGTTTATAAGGGTTTAAGATCTATCTTTAAGGGCTGCGTCTCAGGGTTAACGTAAAAGCTTGTACGGCTTGTGCTTTGGGCTTCAGGGATTAGCATAGGATGGTCTTGGGAAACAGGGTTGTCTTTTTCAGGCGGTGGGGCTTTCGGCTGATAGCTTTAAGGTTTAGGGTTTCGGGTCCGCGGGGGCAATGTGCCGACATCAGCACATGAAACAATACAATATGCCACGGCATTAGTGTGGAGAACCTACATGACTTTCTGTGCATCTGACCTCTCTCCATAACAGGTAAAGAACTCAGTGAAGCGAAAGTGCCGCCTGTGTGTGTGTTCCATATGCACTGTATGGATTTACATGCATGTGTGCATCTATATATACATACATATAAATAAAAACATATGTAAGACCGTGATATATATATATATATATATGTATATGTATGTATGCATGTATGTATGCATGTATGTATGCATGTATGGATGTATATATGTATACATACATACAGAGTGCAACTATACGTATGTGTGTATGTTGTTTGTGCATCTACGCTAAAAATGCATATTATGATGTGTATATATGTACACACATACACTACATAGGCAGTAAGTGCATGGTAATGGTCTGTGCGTATATACCGTACGTATACATATAAACATCTATATACATATATATGTTCACGCTCCAATATACAGTACATGCGTTGTACAAACTTTTTTTAGACTCCATGTCAACTGCTGCTCTGCCTAAACGCTAACACACCCCCAACCCTGAACCCTAAACTTGTGAAAACGGATCCCCAAACGGATCTGAAATGCATATTTAGGAAACATAGCATTTCCAGAGTTAGCAGGCAGCAGATTCTCACCACCCTAAACCAGAACTCCGAAGCCTTGTCCAAATTGCGTGGGGAGATGAGCTCGGTATTCCAAAGAGCCATCGCAGTGCACAGGGAAAGCGGCGTCCCCAGTCGCGCTCGTTATGCCGACCACCGGGCTCCACCATAGAAAGCAGGCCTGGCCGGTGCATCTTTGACTGTAGCATATATAAGCTGGCGAAAGCTTCTGAGTAGTAACCTGTTTGACTCAGGCAGCAGCAAAGACTAAATAAGTGAATACATAATATATGTATAAATATATATACACATATATATATATATATCACATGTATATATATATATACATATATATATATATATATATATATATATGCTGTCAGATGTACTGAGACCATCTGAGAAGAAGCAGCATGTGCAACACGAAAACCAGGAAATGACGAAGTCTTGTTGTTTCTGAGCGTGAGTTCTTGAAAATTCAATACGAAGCAAAAGGTAGATTGGCAAAGTAGACAGACTGGCAAAATCAGGCCTGAGCCAATGTGAGGCCGAAGATGTCCTGCACATTCCTCACAGGCCTCTCCTGGGCTTTAAGTACCCAGGGAAAACAGTAAAGACGTTTATTTCATTATTATGGTTCCCGTTAAGTAACAAGTGCCCCCAAAAAAGTATTAAAGTATGGTACTCCAAAGCCCAGTCTCGTAGGAATTTATCACATTCCAAGCTGCCTGGCCTGTCAGTTCCACGAAATCCTGTGTACCTCAGCGTCGCAATGCAGCTCTCTTATCGGATGCCTATATACTGCCGTGTAATCTACGAGATCCTCCAAGAAACACAACCACATGCCCCTAGATATCTAGATCCGAAACACCCTATAGGGGCTTGGAGGGTCCGAATAGGGTTCTGGAATGTAAGTATTTAAGGACGTTACCCTAAACCCTAAACCCGAATAGGGCTCCGGCCCCTATAGCAAACCGTGGGTCCCTAGGCGCTTATGCAGGCCGAGGTTCTCGAACTCACCCATGGCCAAATACATGCGATCCGGGTATATCTTGTTCGATTGCCATGTCTTCATGTCTTCCATAAAGCGGCCGTTACCCGCCCAGAAAGAAGGTGACTCTACGAGGAAGCCGGCGAAAGCGCGAGGGTAACTTCTCGCCATGTAAAGCGCGCAGATACCGCCAAAAGAAGACCCGCCAAAGACCTGATCTTCAGGTGCCTCAGACAATCCAAAATGGTGTTGCGCCCATGGGATTACGTCACTAAATAACATCTCCATGTAGGCATCAACTCCTCCCCCAGGTGCGTCCCACATGTCACCTCTCATTCCCTTGCCCCAGGGTGCGTCCCAGCCAGTCGGCGGCGCTGACAGATAGTCGAACGTCCTCATCCTCCCGGAATGGTCAATGCCCAGAACAAGAATTTCAGGGATCGCCCCACAGCTAATGAGGTGTGCCACCGTACCAGCCGCACCCCAGGAAGCACCACCAAAGGCCTCTTCATCTCGGAACAGGTTTTGACCATCGTTGAGCCACAAAGCTTTCGCAACTTTCCCTTTGCTCCAGCCCGGGGGCGTCCACACCCGAACGAGACGATCCCCTAGCCAGGAGAAGTGATACAAACGCCCTCCGCAGAGCTCAGTGGACCATCTCTCCTCGAAGCTGCACGATGAAGTGGCCATGGCTAGACGGACCAACTATCGGGGAACAATCCCGACCCTGAACCCTCAACCATGAAGCCCGCAACCCGAGAACCTAACCCTAAACCCCCTATCAGGGGGAAATCCCACATGCCGTTCGCAAGAGTGTTCCTCTCTTTCCGTACGGTCCAAGGTACCCCATAGCGAAGTGCTTAGTTTCAGGGATTTAAGACTGTGGAGATGTAGGTAAGTGTAGATTAGCAGTGTGCTCGGGCAGTGCATGATGATTGTCGACCTCTGTCACTTAAGGACATAAAGGAAACCCTTCATTTCCTTGTCTTCCCGCCCTCCCTCCCGGTCTCCCTGGATGAGAAGCTTGCAAGCAGAGCAGGTCGAACACAACGCTTAGGTAGGGGCCTGAAAAAATTAGGGTTCGTGCGAAGGGATCTATAAGGGTACTATGATATAGGGACCAATAAGTAGAATAGGGCTTTGGGCTCCTTAACTGTATACTTATAAAAAGGAACCCTACGGAATAATATTGATACTTATTTATGCTTCTATAGTAGGGTCCAGGGTTTTCCTTAGGGGTCCATGTACCCGATAATCATACACATTCCAAAAAGCCTACATGGCGGTAGGGTAGAGGGTAGTAAAAAGCGCCGAACAGTTAAGTGTCTTTGCCCGACAGTTTCCTTCAGGAAAAACTGCATCACCACGACTTCCTAAACTTATGGGTCGAGTATAAAGTGGGGCTGTCTAGGGTCTGGGTCTAGGGTTTGGTGGTGTGGGGTGTTTAGGGCTTGGGCGTCTCGGGTTTAGGGTCTCATGTAGAAAATTTTCTGAGCCCCAGCTACAGAGGCACCAGTCTGGGAGGGACATTTGACAATGGCTTTCGGACATAATTGAACTTCACGCCCAGACCTTCCTATATCTGTTGATTAAGGAATATACCTTAGATTCTACTAGGAACCTTGCTATGATCTAAAGTGTATTCCTGAATTAAGTGGCTTGGGAAGGTCTGGGCAAAGCTGTTGTCAATAGCAGAAGCGTATATAAAGTCGGAGGAATTCGAGACCCAAAGCCTGAGAGATCAGTCTCATCTAAAGGGAACTCCAGAAAGTTGGAATATGGTTTCAGGGTAGGAAACCTTATAATCTACCATAAAGGGTTCAGGATAATCATATTCCAACTTTCCGGCTTTTACTTTAGGATGTGATAGCATTCCAGCCCGAGCAGTACGCAAAATCCGGGGACTTACCCTAAAGCCCCATACACCCATACGGTAAGTACCTGGGCCAGGGTTCCTAAATAGGTACTTCAAGGATTTAAGGCGTATGTATATACGACTATGTACTATGTACATAAATGGGGCTTTTGGGCCATGGGGTTAGTAAGTGGTGATAAGCCCGAATACAGGTACCACACTCTTGGTTATCCCACCACCACCCTTCTCAAAGCCTGTACACAGACTAAGTCCCCTGAACCTTCGGCTTCGAGTAGACAAGACCACTTGGAGGGGCAGGGGACTTAGTAAGTAGGTTATGAGTAGAGCTATGATTGGGGTAACTCCATTTAGGGTGCTTACAACTCTACATATATAACCTACTTACTAAGTCCCCTGCCCCTCCAGCATCAACCCATCACTCCCAAAGCCTGAACCCTAAATCCAAAACTGTAACAACTACCTGTTGCCTCAAACCCCACCGAACAGACCAACCTAGCAGGTTACGACCTTAATTAACTATAGGGTACATATAACCTTGAGATAGAAAGTTTGTACATGAATACAGCTATGTATATACATACATAATGTCCCTGAATTTTGATGTATGTATAATATGTATATGTATGCATATATATATATATATATATATATGTTAGTATATGTAATAATATATATATATATATATACATACATATATATATACAAGTGCGTATATATATATATATATATATACATACATATGTACCATCGTTAACACGGCAAGTCACGGCTCCTGGAGGCTTGAAATCGTCCGCTGCAGATCCTGCTTCTTGGACTCCTGGAATGTGACCTGACCATGTTTCGGGGAAGACTCAGGGTCCTAGCACCTACCCATAGGCCCCATAGTAGCTTCTTGTTGGGATTACTTACCTTATAGGGTTCTAAATATGAACCCCAAAAAAGGAACTACCGTCCCTAAACCCCTAAACCCTAAATCCCTAAACCCTAAACCCCTAAACCCTACACCCCGAAACCCTAAACCCCTATAACCGTAAACTCCTAAACCCCGAAACCCTAAACCCCTAAACCCGAAGTCCAATCAAAGACCTCCTAGAGCGCCTGCGCCTGAGCCTCCGCCGCTCGGCGTCGGGCGTCCAGAAGCTCGGCCTGGTCCCAAGGAGGATCCCAAAACATCCTTTGAAGGAGGGTATAAGGGTCCATGTAGCAGTATAGTATATACCCAAAGGGTCCTACCTTAACCCACCAGAACCTACTTGTTTGTAGGGTTCCTATAAATTTCATATAAGGGTTTACAGTAACAACCTACCAGAAAAAGTAGGTTTTGGTGGGTTAAGGTAGGTATTGCTATGGCATAGGCTATGGGGGATATACTTCCTCAAATCATAATAGCAATTCCTAATACAGAACCCCTACGCTCTACCATATAGGTACTTTAGAACCTTTGGGTTCGTAGGGTCTCTTTTGGGGCTCCTTTTCGGCATCCGCAAGGGTTCTACGAGGGTTTAGGGTTTAGTGATTTGAGGGTTTAGTTTTAGAGTTTGAGGTCTGGTTCGAGGGTTTAGGTACTGTAAGGGCCCCTCTGTGGTTCACGGGGGTTTTGACTGTTTGAGCCTAGACCCCAAACCCTGAATGTTTAGGGTCTGCAGCTTCTAGCGATTTTGACCCTAAGCCCTACACCCCAAACCCGTAGGGCTTAGGGTGTGTATTTGAGAATATTAGGTAGTGCCTGATCTGCCCTTCCTTCATAGCCGAGGGTATCGGACTGCAAGTTAGGGGTTTTTTTGTTTCAGGAGTTTAGGGGTCAGGGTGTATTCGGAATTACCATTATATGATTTGAGGAAGTATCCCCCATAACCTAGACCTAAGAGTAACCTAGGAAGAAAAAGGGTGCCCTTTTTGGTTTAAAGGGGCTTATCAGGGGACCTGAACCCTAAAAAAAAGGAATAAGGGCCTACTCCAGGTCCTACGGTTGATGATATAAATCCTGCATGACCTTAAGGACCCTAAACTATGGGAATTATGGTATATTCCCTATTATGGGTAATGCAGGATTTATATCATCAACCGTAGTAACACTACCTAGGCCCAATTTGGGTTTGCCATCGCACCAGCCTCCGGAACCCCATCTGCCCATGGCTCTGCTCTGGCAAGGAATGGAGATGGCTCCCACGAGACGGTGCCGGCCGCCCCTATATTACCTAGTTACCCCTTTTTTGAGGTACCTGATTTTCGAAAAAAAGGAGATCCTAACCATAAAACCCTATATTACCTAGTTACCCCTTTTTTGAGGTACCTGATTTTCTAAAAAGGAGATCCGAACCATAAAACCAGGTATCCTAAAAAAACGGGTAGGGTACTGTTGATGATATAAATCCTGCATTACCTTCATGACCCTAAACTATGGGAATTATGGTATATTCCTTATTATGGCTAATGCAAGATTTATATCATCAACCGTATGACCCTCTAGGTACACTTCAGCAAGCCAAGCCTTGCGGCTTCCGGCTTTTGGGTTTAACACAGGGTTAGGGTTTAGGGTTTAGGGTTTAGGGTTCAGGGTTTAGTGAGTTTTGGGGTCTCTTCAACAGCCTCGAAGAACCCTCGAACCCTTCAAAGAACCCTAAAAATCTAGATCCAAAATCCGAAAAGACAAAATGTCCACGCCCTGAACCCTGTTAGAACCCTGCGGAAAACCTCACAGACCCCTTTTTGAAAAGTCGCAGGAACCTAACCCCTAAACCCTAAACCCCTAAACCGCGCCTCCACTGCCAAACATCTTCCCTTCAGCTCCTTCTGCTGTGCCAGGATCGATCTGGGAGGGCTCTTGACTGCTTTTGGGTTTAGGGTGTATAGGGTTTAGGCTTTAGGGCTTAGGGCTTAGGGTTTATAGGGTTTAGGGTTTGGGGTTGAGGGTTTAGGGTCAGGGCCAGAACACGCGAGAAGGCTGGGCATCCGGTGGTCCATGCAAATCTCTGCAGTCTCTGCCTTCACTGCGACGAATGCAAGGAATCTCTTGGGCTCACAATCCTGCCCGCCATCTCTGCCTAACGATATCTTCGGGTGCTGCGACGTGTATAGCCTGCATAGCTATAGCCGCTATAGCAGTCTAAAGTTAAAGTTCTACCTTTCACAAATGCAATCCGCCCTAAACCCGAAGCTGTAAGCCCTAAACCTGCCTAGCTCACTCCGAGCGGCACTTGACGTTGACGAAGTGGCTCCAGGGCTCGCTCCACCAGAACCTGCTTCGTGCTGTTGCATTTCACTGGTCTACTGTTATTTAGGATAGTTCGATCAACTTTGGGGTTGATATTGGTGTTGCTGCTGTCGTTGCCGAGGTCGTCACCGTTTAAATCTTGTGGCAGCGGTGATGCTGGTCAGTCAGTGAGCGTTGAGGCTCGAGGCTTCGTCTTTGCTGTTGCTGTAGCCATTCAATATCAATATACTTCTATTCCGCAAGCCCATAGCCCAAAACACCACATGACAAAGTACCTAGAACCAGGGTACAAGGCTCATAGAGTACAGCCTCGGCCCCAAATTCCGAACTCTTCACTACTCTGTATCGAGTTGTGTAATTCTTTCCGCACCAGTAATCGCTGGGGATGAGCCACACGGTCAAATGCACCCTTATGAACGTCCCCAAGGTTAGGGCAGTCTTTTTCATGAGCTTAGCATGAAATACACTACTGTGTCCGTCTCACTTCGTATCCCTAAACCCTAAACTCCCTCAACCCTCAACCCTCAACCCTGAAACTTAGACCCCAGACGAAGGTCGGGTGCTCCGGGCCTGCACCGGAACATCCACTTTGACCAATCCTTCAGCGCTTAAAGTTTTGGGCTTTACGTCTTGACTTTGTAGCATTGGCGGTTTAGAGTTTAGGGTTTAGGGTTTAGAGTGTGGGGTTTAGGGTTTAGGGTTTAGAGTTTAGGGTTTAGGGTTTTAAGGTTTAGGGTTTAGTCAAGGGTTTAGGGGGATAAGTGTCAGGGGTTTAGGGGCCTTGGCCGCAATAGTGACCTGGTAGTTTGGCAGACATACTTCCATAATTTTAAACAGTTGTATGCATGCATGTATGTACGCACGTAGGTATGTATGTAATTGTGTGTACGTATGTGTGTATGTATAAATGGGCCATCTAGGTAAGCTTATGGACCATCTAGGTAAGAGTCATAGATTCCTCAAGCATTCACGAAGAATTACTGCAAAGTACAGGAGGTGTAGGGCGGGCAGGTTCAGTCTGTGTATGTATGCTAATAACAGCAACGATGAATCCGATGGCAACAACAAGCAACATAGCACACCCTAACATGATACAACACAACAGAACACAGTGTAGTGTATAATGTTACAGCAGTATAAAGAATAATGACGACATTATGGCATACCAAGAAAACATAATGACCGTAAGAAACGATAGTAAACGTGATGATGATCAGACACAGGGTTTGCCGCTCATGGTGAGTATGCTTGTCAGAAACATGCGGGACTCATGCCGATTAGGGCTTCGGAAAGTGTACGGGGTGGGGTGATGGGGATTCTGGGATTATGTGGTTGAGGGTTTAGGGTTTAGGATTTAGGATGGAATGTCAGACTTTAGGCTGTAGGTCGAGGGCTCGGGACTTGATGGTCTTCCCTCAGCTTTGCTCTGAACCCTTGCTGTCCTGTCGCGGTCGCACAGAACTTGGCCTGGCTAGAGATGCTTGTCCAAGACCTGGGTAGCGCTTAGGGCCATGTAGGGGCAACCCCGTCCGGCTTCAGAGTGAGGGCGCGTAAACGCTAAGCAAGAAATCCCAAAGCCGTCGTTATAGGGGCGTTGATCGCATGCTTAGGGTTTTGGGCCTTGGAGTCGTTAGTGTAAAGATGTAAGATGATGTATGTGTATATAGATATACATATACATGTGTAGTATAGATACATATGTATCATATATATATATATATATATATAGATATGGAGATATATATATATACATATATATATATATATATACATACATAATCCATTATGGCAACAGGACACCCAAGGAAACACAGTTAATTCGGATCCTGGCAGGCAGTCTTCACCGAGGCTCCGGCAGAAGCAAGCGCGACGCGCGGACTGAAGACCCCGCGAAGATCATGACGAAGACGACACCGGCCGAGTATATCGGTAGCAAACTTGATACCAATATACATACCTATTCTCTAAGGGCGATGCTATAGCACTGACATGTTCTTTTCTACAAAAAACCACTGACACCAGCTGCTGCTCAGAGCCACATGCGGTTGCATAGACCCTGTTCCCCCCTAAACCCTATAAACACTAAACCCTGAACTCCTAAGCCCAAAACCCTGCACCCAAAACTCAATGCTCCTAAAGCCAAAACAGACCACTCCATTTAGGGTACTCATAACGCTACTTATGCCCTACTTACTCGGTCACCTGGGCCTCTAAGTACTGTAAAACCCAAAACAGACCATGGAGTCCCCCCTAGAGTTTTGGGAAACCTTAACCTCCGAGCCCTGAGACACCGGACCTCAACACCCTGAAGTAGGGTTTAGGGTTTTGGGGTTTTAGCTGTAGGGTTCAGGGTTTTGGGTTTAAGCTGTAGGGTTTAGGTTTATGCTGTGGGGTTTAGGGTGTAGGGTTTAGGGTGCAAGTTTTAGGATTTAGGGCTTATATCGGGTCTAGAGCAACAGAGCCAAACCCCAATCGCCAAGACCTTAAACTGTTACGTCCTGGCTTCAACGGCAAATGTTCCCCAAACTCAGCTCGTGCTAAACCCACCGCATTTCTGTGATCCGAAGACATGGCTGTTCCGTAGGAGCCCGAAGAATGACGAATATGATTCCGCACTTGGAGGCCCAGGGGACTTAGTGACTTAGTAAGCAGTGTTATACTTGGGGTAGCTGCATTTAGGGCACTTATAACTCTACTTATAATCTACCGACTAAGTCCTCTGGGCCTCTAAGCAGAATCTCACCCTGTGATCGTACGACGTGGAATGGACCTAGAAACGGCCTGAAATCCAAAAACCAAAACCTTGATCCCAACCACCTAACTCTTCCAGACACTATAGCATATTTACACGGAGCCCAAAACAATAGTATTATCAAGCGCTGTATTGGGTAGATCCATGTCCATGCGCCACTGCAAGGCCTCTCCCCCGATCCAGCACCCCATACACACGGAGCTGCGGCTCCCCACACCCTCTTCCTCCATAAAGTGTCCATGCACTCAAATTGATATACATATGGGTGGTCTAGTGCTACAGTAGACACCGTGGCGGTGTAACATGGACCCTTGCAGCCCTGTGTGGCACCTGCAGTGCTTGGCGCGGAATGCATCCAAACCTGGACTGTTTGCCAAACACTGCGGATGTTAGGCATCCTATTTCATAAGCCCTATAATTCTGGGCTTTGGTGCGTAAGCAGATGTCTTCTTGCTCACAATCTTCACAGTATGGTAGGTTCAGAGTTTCAGGTTCTTCAATCAAACCTTCTGTGAGTGTACTGAATCTTGAGCATATGTGGGCAGTCTGAGCACACGAGCCGTAGGGCCCATCGCTCTAAATAATTACTGACATAGTTCAACATGATCACATGCCAACGACCTTAACCCTGCACCCTGAAACAAAACAAACAGTTTGACAAACACCTCATTCTGATCGGCTTGCAGCACCCTGTCTCAGTCGCTTGAGCCCCTAGACGGCAAGCATTTGCATATTGCTATTTGAAAGTCGTTGGATGCTAGCATACAGCCACCGAAATCCTCATTGCACCCTTGAGACCAACTGCCCTTACAGTGCAACTGTCAAAGGCCAATGCCCTCTTTGGCCACGCGGAGGCCAGATCGGGTGTCGCCCTTGTGGATGTAGGCCTCTGGCTTGGTTTCAGGGCTGTGCTTAAGATTTAGCCTCGCAATTGGGTTTAGGGCTTGAGGGTTTAGCGCCTTACTTGATTGTTGCGGGCTTAGATCGGTTTGAAGTCTTATCGTTGGCTTCGCTCTGGCTCAAGTTCAGAGCTATGGTGTGCGGCTTTGAAGGGGCTAGGGCTTTAGACTTTAGGGTTTAGCATTTAGGGTCTGGGGCTGAATGTCGACGTGGGATTCAGAGAGATATTGCTTTGGCGGTTCGGGTTATGTAGGTTGTAGAAGTTGAGAAAGAAACTGATCTCAGCTGCAGGGGTGTTGGGTATATAAAAACCATTTCCTGAATGAATGTGTACATGGCGTCACTCTACTGACTATATGGGTGGTTGTCAAAATTATGGTCCCTTTTTGGGTCCCTATTATAATACGGGACCTAATATTCAGGGTACCCAAAAACGGACCCTATTTTTGACAACCACCCATATGGAAACGACCAGGGAATGCTGGTACCAAGCAGTAAAACCATGAAATCGAGACGCTGGAGACACCTTTCACCCCAACCCTGCATGAGACTCCACAATCCCTTAACCAGGGACTATACCTTAAAATGTAGCAGGATTCCTAAAAATATTTAAGGAATATTCCTTCATTCCCTTATAGATCCCCGATAGATCCTTTAAGGAACCTTGAAGGAACCCTTAGGGTTACATTCCTTAAGGTAAGGATGTTGGAGTCTCTGGAAACCCTGTACTCAAAGGATCATGGGACGTAGTAACCAGGGTCATAATTAGGGTAACTATACTTGTAACTACTTATATCTACTTATAACCCCAACTAAGGTACATATAACCTTACTGTATTACTTACAAATTCCCATGATCCTCCAAGTACTCAAAACAGCCCGATACCATCAACTCGGATCCTCAGTCCCGCAACCTTACTAAAAAAGCCCTGATCAGGTTTAGGGTTTAGAGTTTAGGGTTTAAGGACACAAAACCCGAAAACTGTTGAATCCTGAAACATACACTCTAAACCCGAATCCTGAACACCCTAAACCCTAAGCCAAAACCATAAAAGCCCTGAGCCCACAACCAAAACCCTAAAAGCCCTGAACCCTAAACGTCCGAATATGATTACTTGAAGTCAAGTTTAGGACTCCGATCATCGTTTGAAGTACATTGCCTCAGTAAGGGATTTTGAAGCCTCCCGTTCGGGGATTTAGGAAGGCCAGGGTTTACGGCTTAGGGTTCCTTATAATTCGGGCATTTTGGAAGGTCTGGGCCTTTCAGCAGCCTTCAGAAGAAAACTTACTTACCCCATAAGCCACAGAAATGAAAGGTTAAACTTTCCGACTCCTACTGAAGTATAAGAGCCCAACAAGTTTAAAGGTTGGGTAGTGGGGATCGACGAGAACCGAATAGACACTGATAGCCCTCAAGCGAACCGGAAAGAAACTACAGTGTTTCTGAATCCCTCAACCCTGAAACCTCAACCCTACAAAAGCATTCCTAAACCCCTGCCTGAACAAGTAGATCGGCCGCAGAGGCCTGGCAAAGCAATGCATAGAGAGGGAAAGCTCAAGGCATTTGGAGCAGCGTTATTACAATTACTGTTACAGTTTGCTACTACTTTTCCCGGCACTATTGCTAGAACAATTACCTTCACTATTGCAAAAAACTCTCGCTATTTCTATTGCCACAGTCAGTCCTACTTCTGGTATTGGAAATTCCATTGCTGCTACCGTCACGACCGGCATTACTGTTCTCATTGATCATTTCGATTACCAGTATGCTACGGTTACAGGCTGTTAGTTCCCCAAGGGTCCGTGTACCCCAACCATTATGTACTTCGGCCTGAATGTACTCCTTATCTATGTACATTGGGCCCAGGGTATAATTATACGATTGGGGTACATGCACTTTTCGGGTTCAAATTTAAACCGCAAATCGTAACATCAAATGCCAGATACTCCGCAAGGCGTTTAGGGACAGTGAGCTTTGGCTTATCGAGCGTCGAGTTTGAGGGGTTGAGGGTTAGTTTTGAAACAAGGGCTTGGGGATCAGGGCTTGACAGGTTGAGGATTAGTTTTGAAATAAGGGTTTGGGGGTTTAGGGTTTAGGGTTTAGGGTTTAGGGTTTAGGGTTTGGGGATGAGGGTTTGAGTTTGATGTTCTGGGGTCTTAATTTGGGCTGGGCGCTTTAGAGTGCTAGGTTTTGCGGTTCAGGACTTCCCACAAAAACCCTAAACCCTGAACAGCACTAAACGCTAAACCCCTAGACCACTAACTAAATCCTGATCTCTAAACCCTGCCTAAGAACCCCAGGTTCCCACCAACTCGAAGCTCAGAAGGCTCAAAGGGCCTCGAACCTTCCTCAACCCAGCCCCTCAAACCGACCCATCCTTCACAAAAGACAACCCTAAACCCTGAATCCTCAACCATAACCCCTAAACCCTAAGCCTTAAACCCTAAACCCTAAACTCACTGAATCCTAAATCCCCCAAAGCCCCAAAAGCTTTAAACCCACAACCCCACAAGGCCCTGTCAAAGCCCCTAGGAAGGACGTAGCTCCGGTTAAGGGAATAGGGAAACCACATGTTATTATAGATCCCTGTTATGGCAACTACAACCCTAAACTTTCCTAAACCCTTATAGGAAACCTCATAGATCCCTTAAAGGAAACCATATATATATATATATATATATATAAACATATAACCATTATGGTAACTTAGATTATATTCCTTAAGGAGAACCCAGGATAGCACCCTTCGGTGCCTGAAGTCCTGTGAGCCCGGGGAGTGTCCGAAGTGCTGCCACGGCGTCCTGAAAAGAATTCCCTAAGGCTCCATGTACTTATATAGTATTTCATGGTGTGTTAATGTGGTATGATAGTTCTAGTTTAACATATCATGGGGTATTTCGACATTTTCAGCATGTCATAGTCATGATAGCATGCTACAGTGTACTGTAGTATAATCGAAGAATCCCCTAAGGCTCCCTGGACCTTTTTGGCATTTACTTAAGCTTTAACATACCTATGAAGGAACCCGTGTAAGGCCTGAGTCTGTGTATAGACTATATGACTATATGGAAATATTGGGTTGGGTTAAGGGTTCGGCGCCGTTCGGGGTTTCGCATGTGGGTGGTTGTCAAAATTATGGCCCCTTTTGGGGTACCCTAAATATTAGGTGCGGTACTATAATAGGGACCCACAAAGGGACCCTAATTTTGACAACCACCCATGTAGGGTTAAGGCTTAGGGTTGAGGGGGTTCCGGGTCTGGGGTTTCGGGCGTGTGATTAGGGTGCGAGGTTCAAAATCCAGACGCCAATAAGCCGATGCCCACAATCCGAATTGCATAACGGAAATTCATACCCAAAAAGGTGATGCGAAAGGTATGACCGACAAGATCATTGTCGGCAACAACATGCAGCAATTAGAGCCCAAGCTCACTCACAGCGATACCCTGGGCATCAAAATAGCCCAAAAGCCTTATATAATATGGTCTTTGGGCCCAAAAGCCTTAATATGTGAGTCCTTAGATGCTTAGGGATATTGGATCACGGAGAAGCAGATCGTTTTCGCTTGTTTGGCGAAGAGGACTCGGGCCTTACCGTGGTCAGAACTTCATCAGAAATCGTTTGCTGTTCACCCTAAACCCTACCTTGAGCCGGAATAACCTACCTTTTTAAGGACTTATATAAGGAAATCATAATAAGGAGCCCTAAAAAAGGTAGGTTATTCCGGCTTAAAGTAAACCCTAGACCCTAGACCCCAAACCCCTAACGGGTCTTTCGCAGGCGGTGAAAAAAGGCCGCTGTCTGGTTGCTGGGAACCAGGGCTTCGGCCGTTGAAGGCCCTCGACGCTGGAGAAGTAGCGTCGCCATGTTTCTTGCTTACCCAAAAGGTCCTAGGCTTCCTTTAAGGGATCTATGAGGGTTCCTATAAAAGTTTAGGACAGTTTAGGGTTGTAGCTACCATAACAGGGATCTATAATCCCAAAGGGTCCTCGGTACTGTTATGGGGGGTACTTCCCAAAATCAAAACTGTAATTCCTAATATAGAATACCCTACATTCTACCATATCGGTACCTAGGACCCTTTGGGTTACCTATAGTAGGGAATGGAAGCATGGGGTACAACTATGACTACCATTAGTACCATTCCTCCAGCCCCCACTTACCAAAGGTAAGGCTGTGGCCACTGTGGCCATGGCGTCCAGCCCCTGATATCACCGAGTTTTGTTCTTCTTGACCTCGTCGTCGAGGATCTCCGGCATCAGGTCGGCCATCATTGCCAGTGTGGTCCCCCAGGGAATTCCAGCACCATAGATTCTCCCCTCTTCCAAGGGACGAACTTTGCGTCGAGCGAGATCGCGAGGTGGCAGTCTCGGGCATTCCGTCCACTAACAAAGGAGAAAAATGGCAACTGCATAATCACAACGGGAAGGAAGCGATTGCTTGAAACATACACCAAGGAAAAACCCTAAACCATCCTGAATCGTAGACCCCAAACCTCAAAACCCACAAACCCTTCTCCCACTAGAATCGGCATCCAACTGTCAAGGCCTTCCGGCTCAGTATTGAGAGCTTGTCAATCAGGTGTCGACGGTATCTAGTGGAGAGGGACCCTTACCTTACCTTGTTCCTTGCAACGAAGGGGCTTGGGGCTTACGGTTAAAGGGCTTGAAGTTTCATCGATCTGTCGATGCTCGTGCTGGACCAAAAATCGGACAACCCTGACACTAGAACCGAACCTAAGACCGTAGGTTTCAGAGATCAAATCTGCTCCTCGGCAAACTCCACTGCCTCGCGACCCAAACCTCGGGGGAAGGAGTGGTGCTCAAATTCCGGAAGCTTTCATAACCCATGAGGAACCGTAAGGAATCTTGGTTGATACAGTAAGGATTCCTAGGGACTAGTATCTTCGTTTCGGGCTTGGGACGCAGACCGTAGAGCCTCACACTCCCAGCTGCATCTCTGTGTATATCTCTATAGCTACTGCTGATGGAGGGTTTAGGGTTTAGGGTTTAGGACAAAATCCTGCATTACCCATTTTTGTGAAATACCATAGTTCCCCTATTTAGGGTCCTTAGGGCCATGCAAGATTTCGTCCATCAGCAGTATTTCTATCTATCCGTATACACATATGTATATATATATATATACACATACACACCTATGTGCAGACAAATATGCATATACACACGCATAGATGTACACATGTAGAAATGGGTGCACATACATATGTATATATGTACAGAAACGTATACATACATGTTGACGTACATGCACGCATACATACATAAACCCATCCATCTAGCTGTATATCTCTCTCCGCTTTTGTATACAGAAAGTCGGGTGTTTATGAATCTATAGATGTATATGCGTGTATGCACATAAGCACAGACACCAAGGTACAATGCCAAACAAGGAATAACAAGATGGTGCTGAGCTTGCACCTTGGTTGCATGAGGAAATCCTGTCGCGAAACCTGGAAATCATAAGCACAACCAGCGGCCTAAACGCCAAACAACCTTTCGAAAAACTTTTGCGCTCTGGCCTTGTATATTTTATGCGGCGTGTTCTCTCTGTCTCTGTCTCTGTCTCTCGCTCTCGCTCTCGCTCTCTCTCTCTCTCTCTATCTTTCTCTTTCTTTCTTTTTTTCTCTCTCTCTCTCTCTCTCTATCTCTCTCTCTCTCTCTCTCTCTCTCTCTCTCTCTCTCTCTCTCTCTCTCAAATTATATATATACACATAAACATACACACATATGTGTATGCATGTGTATGTGTGTTTGTATATGCATATGTATGTATATGCAAGTTTTGAATACATCCATGCAGCTAGTTAATTGAAACTTGTTGCTTTTTACGTCTATGTATACACTTGTATATATACGTATCTGTATATGTACATGTATATGTATATTAGTATATGTGATGGCGATGCGAATGTGTATGTGTATGAGGTATGTGCCACTACACATTTACTTACATCTGTGTGCCTGTGCGTGTGTGTATATATATATATATATATGGATGGGGCTATGGTCATGCACATACACATGCTGTCGCATATGTGTATATGTATATATATATATATATATATGTATGTATATGTCTACATGTAGATGCATGTCTGTCTGTTTGTCTGTCTGTCTGTCCGTCTATCTGTCTGTTTGTCTGTCTGTGCGCCTGTCTGTCGGTCTGTTTGTCTGTCTGTCTGTATGGATACTTGGGCTTTATGTGGCTTGACATGTGCCAAGCACGCTTCAGACCTTGTCAACAAGAGCAGAGGCACAAACAACAGCAACCACAAAACAACAGAACCATCGAAGCCTTGCATCATAACCTGTAGTTTATCCCGAAGCTCACCCACCCACCCCTCCCCCAAAACCCAAAACCTTACACCCGGAGCCCAAAGCACCCACCACCCCCCCCCCCCCCCCCTCCCCCCCCCCTCCGATCCCAGCCCGGAGCTTCGCTTCGTATCGATTTGACAAATGCATACTTAAGGCTCTATGTCTTAAAGACTGAGGGGAGCTACACATTATCCCATCTCGATACCTATAGTGCTTGCTCCTAAATCTCAAACTGATTGTATCCAGGGGTATAAGGAGGGACCCTTAATAAGGACCCATAGGTATATACCCCAAATATAGCTATTAGATACTCATTATATAGCCCATTATAGGGTAGGGGTCCCCATTAAGGGTCCCTCCTTTTTTTCCTTTGATTGTAGATCCTGGGCCCTATTCGGGCCGATGCCCTCCATAAAGTATCGATCTTAGGGCTCTATATGGGTGGTTGTCAAAACTAGGGTCCCTTTATGGGTACCCTATGCCGTATTACATTAAGAACCGAAAAAAGGACCCTAATTTTGACAACCACCCATATTCAACTTCAAAGGGCACTAAGCGCTATCCCAGGTTATCTCTAAAGGAATGAGAGGAAACTAAGCATTCTCCCAAATCACCTTTAACCAAATAAGGGAACCTCGGCATTTTCCCAAAACGCCTACCGAGAGAAAGATCGCTCAAATAGGGCCCCAAAAAGCAAAAGTGAGGATAGTGATATCCCATATAAACCCCCTTATAGTGAGGCCCAATAAGGTAGGGATATCCCATATAAACCCCCCCTTAAAATGAAGCCATATAAGGTAGGGATATCCCTATAAAAGTGCTGATGCTTCTGGTGCTTTTTGGGTCCTGATAAGCTTAGGCTGCTGCTCCTGGTCAGGTAGAGCCTCGAGATGCAGTAGCAGATCAAGGCCTGGAGAGCGCTCGAAAGTGGGGAATATACCTACTTGGAGGCCCAGGGGGCTTAGTAAGTAGGTTATCAGTAGATTTATAAGCAGCCTAAATGGAGGTACCCAACTATAACCCTACTTATAAACGACTCACTAAGTCCCCTGGGCCTCCAAGTACCTAACCCTAGGCATCTAAGGACTCAGATATTAAGGCTTTTGGGCCCAAAGACCATATTATATAAGGCTTTTAGGCTATTTTGATGCCCAGGGTAATGGATCATAGTCACAGTGCAGTGCAGTCATGGCTATATCCTATTTTCTGCACCTATCCATATGGGAGATTCCGATAATGGGGGACCCTGATATAGTACCCCAAATAGCAGGATCCTGTAAGGAACCAGGCTAAGGTAGCCCTAATTTCGGAAACTCCCATATTGAAGAACATGACATTGACATGGACCGGCCTTCCCAACCCTTGCACTGAACACTTGCACGCCCTGGGACTGGAGTTTCCCCAACATCTCACCATTCAACCCCACTTGCTAAACCTGCAAGGGTCCAAAGGATCAACCCCCGACCCTAGCCGAGACCCCAATCATCCCCAACCCTCAACCCTGGCCTGAACGCTAAACCCTAAGCCCGCAAGCCTCAACTCTACAATCCTACGAGCTGGACCTGGTCCTCGTCATATTCTTCATTCTGAAGGCCCCTTTACTAGACCCTACAATCCCAAAGCCCAAGTCTCCACTCGAAACCCAAGTCAATCCTGAACCTTCAACCCTAGGCCTGGATCCTCACACCATGAACAAGGCTTGCGTCAAAGACACCATGTTTTAAAACCCTCAAAAATTCATCTTGAAGGCTTCCTGGTTCAAACTGAGGAGGTGCGCCCCGGCTTTTCTAAACTGAGCAAGATTCCCTCCCTAGTCCTAAACTCGAGACCCTTGAACGCCAGCTCAAACTGTATACCCTCCTTAACCCAAAGATCAAATCTACTAAAGGGGCCTTAATACTCAGAATAGGGTTTTGGGGCCCATCTATTATAGTTATAATAAGGAGCCCCCAAAACTAGTAGAGGTAATTATTAAGGTCCCTATATCAGCTCCTGGGCCCTCTTCTGCCATATGCCTCCCCTGTTCCCTAAACCCTAAACCCTATTAATATAGCGGCCTCACGGACTACGGTGGATGATCTAAATCCTGCAGTACCCACAATGAGGGATATACCATAATTCCCATAGCTTGAGGTCTTTAAGGTAATGCAGGATCTAGATCATCAACAGTAGAATAGGGTTTGGGGGCCCTTTATAGTATCATTATACGAAGGAAGCGTCAGGAATAACGTTGGTAATCATGTCGGCTTCAGTATTATCATACTATAGCTCAAATCAACCCTAGAACATGAACGACAGCTGACTCCACGGTAGTGACATTGGTCGATTTGGACTTCCAAAGGCTCCCGCTGGATCCGCGACCTCGCGGGGGTTCTAAACGCAAGAGGGACACTCAATCCAAGATAAGGGGTGTGTCCTTGGCGCTGGTGTCGTAGCTTTGCTTCTGAGGAGGCGTTTCTGGAAGGCGTTCCAGCACTCTAGGGCCCTCGAGTGCTATGGTGTTCTCTGGGGCTTCCCTTTCACCACCTGCGGCAAGCTCCTTGATTTGGGCCAGTCTGCGGCCTTGCAAGAAGCACCAAGCAGAGTGATACTGGTTCGTCTTCTTTCCTCCCACGTTTACACACCCTGGGCACTTGTCGGCCGCAGTCGATCAAAGGAGGCAGCGTCCCTGTGGACAAATGCTGATGAAACAAGGGACAAGTAAGCCTCAAACTGGACCTCTATTCCCTGTAGAACTTCACTCCTTTTCCATCAACCTTCTCACAAGGGAACCAAAGTGCCTTCACATAAGAGTGCTTAAAGGCTTAGGTGGATTTTTCATCCCAAAGGCTTATCCCAAAGCCCTACTTCCAAACCCTAAACCTTGGTCCTAAATCCAAAAGCCTGGCATACCCTGATCCTAAACTCCTAAAACCCTAATCCCAACCTCCTCAACCCTAGTTCCAGGCCTGAACCCCTTACCCCTACACTGGTTTCTGTTAAGGGGTTTGATATAAATTACCATAATGTGGAAACAATCTTATCTACTATAGATCACTATTATGTACTGTACCCAAGATCTGAAACCCTAAACCCTTAGAGGAAACCCTAAACCCTTAGAGGAACCCTCACGGATCCCTTAAAGGAACGCCGGTATAATTTATCCTTGTATAATTTATCCTTATTATGGTAACTTGAACTAAATACCTTAACAAGGACCCCGTCAACCCTGGACCAAGTGGACCCGGCCCTGAGAACAAATCCTGAAGACCTATCCCCAAGGGTCCAAGTATATAACTATCATATACTCTCAAAAATCCTGGCCTACATAACTATCCTAAAACCGAGTACCTAATTATTGGGGCCTTTGGGCCCTCGGGGTAAGCCCAAATCCGATAGGCCCCAAACCCCGATTATCCCCAAAGCCCGATTATTCCCAAAACCCGGAACACTACAAACCCCAAACCCTAAAGCCCCTAAATCACACCCTAAACCCTATAAGTAGTAACTACCCTTATAGATCCCTTATACGAACCCTTATAGTTCCTTCACAGGAGCCCTAACCCCTAAAGCCCTAACCCTGAACCGCAAAACCCTCAACTCTAAACTCGATTTCAAGCTGCACTTCGCCGTGGCGCCTCGATCTTCTTAGCACCAAGCCGGCGCGCCACGGATCCAGCCTCGCCGCAGAGCTCGATTCCCTCCTGGCCAGAGCTTTCTGTTACAGGGCTTTAAATTTTAGGGCTTAGGGAGCGTTTGATAGGGTTTTTAAGGATCCTTGCCTATGAAGGTTTAGGGTTTGGGGTGTAGGATCGGGGTTCAAGGCAGTTTAAGGTGTAGGACTAAGGTTTGAGTTTAAGGTTCCATCAATGGTTGTGTAAGGCTTGTTAGTAAGAATACTTAGAGGCCCAAGGGGACTTAGTAAGTACGTGATATTACGGGGTCCGCAGAGGCTGCTTCTGACAGGTCGATGATACCCGTGGGATCAAGGAAATCCAATTCGGGCTTGTAGGATTTGGGGTTAATTATGGGGTTTAGGGTTTAAGGTTCAGAGTTTAGGGTTATGGGGTTCAGGGTTTAGAGTTTAGGGTTTGGGGTTATGGGGTTTAGGGTTTACGGTTTAGAGTGTCGGAACCTGCGTTATGGGGTTTCAGGGTTTGCGTTTGGGTTATAGGGTTCAGGGTTTAGAATTTAGGGTTTGGGGTTATGGGGTTTTAGGCTTTGGGGTCCTGAGGTGCTGGTGCTGTAGCTGCTTTTGGAAGATGTTTGTCTTAGCTCTGAACCCTTCACAAGAAGCTGAGCTCCAAGAAATCCGACAACCCCTGAGTCCTAAAACCTACAGGGTCCCCGCTGAGCCTAGGAACCCCACAGATCCCTGAAACCTGTGTCCCACGACCGAGGCATCTTGGTGAAGGGGTTCAAGCAGTACTGGGGTGTTGGCGTGTTTCATGGGGTTTGTGAAGCAAACATCTACAGTACAAGGACATGGTACACCAAAACCGCGAGCACGCACGTGTACCCAAGGTACATGACACAACTGAAAACAAAATTCAGAAGCGCGTCTTGCACCCTGAGTTAAGCCCAAAGTGACACTCAAACCAAACAGGACGTCCTAAACCCTAAAAATACTCTATTCCGAAACCCTAACGGATAAGCCTGTGAGCCCTACATGCCGGCAAGTGCAGCTAACGGTCAAGTTGCCCGGTACACCAAGTTCTGTGTGCTGCTACCAGCCTCTACCCCCTTTGTCCACAGACATGTAAACTAATCCTAACCCTAATCAAACTCTCACCCCTCAACCCCATGGACTCTGAACCCATGGGCCTAGACCCATGCAAACCCTAAGCCCCAAACCCTAAACTTGTTGCATGCATTGCACCTCGAACTTGCCCTTGGTCGCGAGAGCCCAACCTAGGCCAGCCATGCAAAAACTGAGGCGCGGGAACCTTTAGGGTTTAGGGTTTAGGGCTTGGGCTCTTGTTAAGAAGTTTCAGTTGAGATACCATAGTAGCGGTCTATAAACCCTAAACCCTAAAGTATGTAACATGAGCCAACCCTCAACTCGAAGTCTAGACCTCATGGCCCGAAATCCAAAAACCTAAACACTACACTGCAGACCCTACCAGACCTCAAACCGAAGATCGCAAGATCCAAGCCGTTCAACGCAAAGGCAACATGGGAATTTCAGAAAGCACTTGGCCCCTGTATACCACTAGATGGTAGGACAAGTATGACTGGATATGCGCTATGAGCACTCCGGAGCAATGCGATCCTCGTATTGAAATCACCTCAGAACCCGTAGATGACCCCTGCAAACCCAGAGGTTATACCGAACCTCACAAAGAGAACGCAACATCTAAACCCGAAATCCTAAACCTTATAAAGCCCCTAAACCCTGAATCCAAAAAAACCCTACACCCCTAAACATCCTTGGACGAGAGCCGATGAAGTGGTTGGCTTTGGCCGTTCCCAGCTGGTCACCTGCTTCCGGAGATTATTTTATGAAACCCTAAACCCCTAAACCCTCTTAGACCTCCCAACTACCCTCTAATATACCCGAAATACCCACTATTAAGGGCCATAGGAGCTCAGAAAACGGGCCGTTGGGGGTCCTGGCAAAACCCTGAACTCTAAACCGACAACCCTAAACCAGACGACAAAGCTGCTTTAGTTCTTTCCCCAAGTGCCGAGCCTGTACTTAGTTGCTGAGTTCATAAGCCCCTAAAAGTGTACACTTTTAGTTTTATAGCGGGTAATATTCTCCCAAAAAGTGTGAAGTGTATCCACTCAGCTACTAGACTAAGTGTAAACGAGAAGAGTAGCTGCTTCGGTCTGTGATATGTCCTGAGGCTTACACAAGGCGTCGATGTCATCATTATCTTTTGGGGGGGCCTGGGGGTGGTACTCTGAAATTCTTGCTATAGCCTGGCGGGACAGATGAAATTCGACATCAACCTGATTGAGAGCAGAGACTGACAGTCGTACTCATTACCCCAAGGGTCCAAGTACCCAATAATCATAGACTCTCCAAAATCCTAACCTACATAACTACTATCTTAAATCCGAGTACCCAATTATTGGGTCCTTTGGACCGTTTGGGTTATAGACCCCTATAAACCCTTAGTACCTCCCCTGAGGCTCCCAGGTATTGCTATGGGGGAGGCTTCTCCAAATTGTTTTAGTAAGTCCTACGGTTGATGATATAAATCCTGCACTACCTTAAGGAACATACACTATGGGAATTATGGTATATTCCTTATTATGGGTAATGCAGGATTTAGATCATCAACCGTATTGAAGAAACCCTCCTACTTGTCGGGTATCATGGGGAACTAAAGGTTAACCGTTTTGGTTATACAGGGATTATATCGGGACTGTACTGCCCCAAAAAGGTTAAAGGTTACCTACTCTACTACTAGGCCCTTCACTCTACCGCACAGGTACTTAGGACCCTTTGGGCTCACCAAAGCTCTTTTAGTCAGCCTGCGGCCATCCTGGTCTTCAGACCAAATGCTCTGCAGAGCAACAGGGGTACTTGGAGGGGCAGGGGACTTAGTAAGTAAGTAGGCTATAAGTACCCCAAATGGAGTTACCCCAAGTATAACCCTACTTATAAACGACTTACTAAGTCCCCTGCCCTCCAAGTAGGGATACTACATCGTTTACCTAGACCCCTAACTACCCGGTATTGTAGCCCATCATTACCACTTAATGACAAACATATAAGAGCCCTTTTCAAGGGTAGTTGGGGCCTGGTAGGGTTGGGGGTTTAAGGGTCTCGGGTTTGGGGGTTAGGGTCTAGAGCTGTGTGTTCAATGGCATGGTGCCAAAAGACGCCTCATTGCGACGACAATAGGTGTGCTTTCTAGACTTGCAAAGTGATCCGATCTCCAATGATCTCCGATGTCGCGCGAAACAAACACAAGCAAGACGAACCTCCATCTCGAAAACATGCGCCCGTAAAACCACAAGCTTGCACAAAGACTTGATTCCTCCGTGCACAGGCAGAAGAAACCCCTAAACCCCATACATATCAGAATATTTGGTTGCAACAAGAACCTTTTGACCCACACCCCGAGATTCGTTTAGAAGCCTTGCCTTACAGAGCCCAACAGTATGCCCTATAATCACTCTTCTGATTTAGCCCAAAACCGCAAATAAAACCAAAAGATATACAAACAACTATAGTACCTTCCGGAAGCCACCAAATTCCTTCAGAACCACTATTCACAGAACCGTCGCAAAGCCCCTAAGTACCTTGTACTACCCCAATAAGCCACAGATAAAAAAGGTTAAACTTTCCGATTCCCACTAAAAAACAAGAGCCCTGGAAGTTCAAAGGTTGGGAATTGGGGGTGAAAGGTACCCTTGCGGTCCCCGAAGTGCCAAAGCCTGCTTGCTTGAAAAGCCCCTGCGCCGCTGTGGCGTGCTCCTGAGCCTGCCCAGAACACGGCGGTTTGGGGTTTAGGGTTTAGGAGTTTGGGTGTTTTCGCTTCAAGGGTTCAGGGTTGTGGGTTTGTTGTTGAGGGTTAGAGTTTAGGGTCCAAAAAACTTCAGAAGTAGGGACTTGGGTGTAGGTTATAGGCTTTGTAGCTAAAAAAGTTTGAGAAAATGCATGATTGTCAGGTACTTGAAGTTTTGTGGACAGGGGTTTAGGGGCTGATAATTCCAAGGATCTGCAACGTTTTAAGAGCTTGCAGGACCCAACGAGTAGGCACTATAGGGTTTAGGATAGAAGGAGGTGGTTAGAATTTTGGTGAGTATATGATGTCCAGGAGCTTGGACCCCGAAGGTTTAGGACCCCATGAACCCTCTATGTTCATGTTCGTAATATTCAGCAGATATGAAGCTTGGGGGTGATAGATGTCGAAAGAAATAGGGAACCATACTTCTAGTGGCCATTCGGTCGCACTGGGTCTGTTGATCTGTTGATGATGTCTTTGGGCGATTCGACCCCTGGATTCCTGGAATGTATTCTTCATGGAGGGTTTTAGCTTGAGTTGTCAAAGGGCTCAAGGCCTCGACCTCAAGCAGGGTTTTCGAGGGCTCATGTTTCTGACTTTTCAGAAGGTGCAGGCGGCTGGAAGACTTGATTTCGATGGCCCTTGGGTAGTTTAGGGGTTCCAATCCAGGGACAAGGATCATAGTGCCGGTTAGGCAACTGGGTTTGGCATAGTAGCATTGTAGGTACGTACTTGCGGGAGTGTATGCTTGTCTTTTATAAGGTACTTGACCCGAAGGCTGCCGTGGGGTAAGGGCAGGCTCTTAGGGTTCAGCGCTCGCGGCACAATAGTTGTTGAAGTCGTGCCGACTATCCACTCCATTACACTGGCCTTCAATATTACGCATACTTTCGGTGCCTCAGGCTGCATGAGAGACAAGTCAAATCCTATGCCAAGACTTAGAGACTCCAATATCCCTTAATAAAGGATTATACCTTGAATCATGTCAAGGATCCTCCTATGATTTACGGTATATTCCTGAACTCAGGGTTTTTTGGAGACTCTGGGTACCATCCTTCATCTTGCTTCGGATGGTAGTGCTGTAGAGCTGCCTTCTTGTATAGCTGGATACGACACTCCTTTCACCTTCGATAAGAATTTGAATGACGATCTGGTCGCTGCGGCTGGGTTGATGTCTGGAGGTCAATATGACCTCATGAGCAGGATAAAGCAAAAGCATGGGCGAAGTTTGAAGACTTTTCTGCATACTAGACTTGTCCGACGGCATTCAGCTGTGGATATACAAATCCAAGGATCAACTCGTGGCGTGTTGCCTGGGTATATGCACTTGACTTTTGGCGAACATTGGGATATCCCAAGTCGGGTGGGTTTAGGGCTTTGGGTTTGGCGATATTATGGGGAAATCAGCTTAATTCTAGCCTATCAAATATAGGCACCTTGATTATTCCACTAAACCCTAAACTCGGTACCCAGAGAGCCCAATACCCCTTAATTAAGGAATATACCTTAAAATATAGTAGGACCCTTAAATGATTTAAGGAAGATTCCTTAATTTAGGGGTATTGGAGTCCTTAGATCCCTAAACCATAGAGATCCTCTTAAAGGACCCCTTATAGATCCGGTACCCCCTAAACCCCTAAACCCCAAACCCGAAACTCCTAAACCCCTAAACCCTAAACCCCTAAACCCCAAACCCGAAACCCCTATACCTAACCCTAGGACTCAAAAAGGGCTCCTTTAAAGGGATCTATAAGGGGCCCTTTAAGGGAACCCCTAAACCCCGTACTGCCCCCACCTCACTGGCATTGTGGGTCGCTGCTGCGAGACCCGCAAGCAGCAACCTCGACGCGGCCTTCCACACAGAGATGACCCCAAACCCAAGGACCCAATAATCAGGTACTCGGTTTTAGGATAGTAGTTATGTAGGTTAGGATTCCGGTGGGTATATGATTATTAAATACTTGGACCCTTGGGGAAAGGGTCCTGAGTACCACTATGGGGGGATACGTACCCACACCATATAGTGCTTTCCGAAAATAAGGGACCCTAACATAGTACCCTAAGTAATTAGTAGGATCCTTATTATTAATGAGGACCCCAGAATAATATACCCCTAATTTTCGGAAACTCCCACATTGTAATTCCTACTACGTTATAGGTACTTAAAAACCCTTTCAGGACGGACAAGTCTTTGCCAGCCATGCCGGTCTTCTACCCCTGCAGGCCTAAACCCGAAGCAACACCTAATCGAGATTTGGGCCTTTTGCCCCTCAAGCCCTACACCCCAAGCCCTAAACGTTCTAGAGGACCCTTTAAGGATTGCTTGAAGGGCTCTAAAGGGTTTAGGGTATATCTTAGACTAATTACATGTTGCTGTAGACCAATCGCGATGTAGGGGGTGCATCCCCTGTGAACCTCACTTGGAGGACCCCTTGCCTCACTGGCTGTCAACGAGCATAAACTTTCAAACAACTGATTCCCCGCGGCAACCAGATCAGCTGAAGTACTAAAGCTTAGAAGCTGTCCCCACCCTGTAATAGTGACTATAAGGATTATAGCAAGGCCCTCTTATTAGTCCTATTATACCACTATTACAGGGTGGGGGCACCTATACCAGTATTCCAGGGTGTGGACACCTTCTAAACTATAGCTTTACCGCGAACATGTGCGAGAGCTTCTCCCTAAGAGTCCAAGTAGTCCTTCTTTAAGGCCCCTAAACCCTAAACCCTAAGCCCTTTAAGGTTTCTGATACCCCAGAAGGTCCCAAAGTCCTCTAGCAAGTCTTCTTCTACTGTTTGCTTAAGAAACCACCAAAAAATAACAATAATAATCCCTATATTACCCCCATAAGGAATATTTTTTTATTTTTTGGGGGTTCTTAAGCAAATAGTAGTTCTTCTTCTTCCGACAATATCAACGAGATATCTTGAAGAATCTCAGGAAAGTAGGGTTTAGGGATTAGGGTTGACAGTAGAAGCCCGAGAGTAGGAAACCCCAAAGCCTCAAGCATTAAGAGTAATGTATAAGGAGTCCCAACACTATTTGGCCTTAACCTGGTTTCCAACATTGCGGGGTCTACTGTACCTAGAGGCTCATACACTACCCCTTTTTCGGATATCTAGTTTGATGGTTAGGATTTGTTATCTTAAAAAGTAGGCGCCCTAAAAAGGGGTAGGGTAGGAGCCTCTATTTAAGGCAGCTTCTGGCCACAAAGCTGGCGAGGTTCAAGGCATCAGTTCGGTTTCAAAGAGAAGAGCTCAAGCCTCCACGGGTTGAGGGTTTTAGAGTTTTAAGATTTCGGGTTTTAAGGTTAAGCCGCTTTAGGTTTAGGACGGTTCAAGGCTTAGGGTTTTAGGGTTTGGTAGGGTTTTGGGCTATGAGCCCTGCAACATGGGCTCAACGCCCTCAAATGAATGTAGGCAATGATAGCTGCAAGGGCAACTGCCGTTCGCAAAACCCTCCATTTAAGAACCATCGTCTCTGGAAGCCCTTTAGGGCTGGGGTTTAGGAACCGTCATCAGGAAACCATCCAGCCTTTTCAACCCTCTAGAAACTTTCAACCCTTGAGAGAACCCTTCAAAACTATCTAGAAAGCCTTTTGCGACACCCCGCAAACTTAGAAAGCACTCTTTAAACTCAAACCCTTAAACACAACCTAACCCTTCAAGAAGTCCTGAACTCCTGAACATGCAACCCCCCCGAGGAAGTCGGGGAAGCCCCTCCTTTCAAAAGAAAAAAGCAAACACTGCAAGCCTCTCATCTCCAAATCCCTAAAGCCGTAAACCCCAAAATAATTTTACATAGCCAAAAAACCTTATAACACGTATACAGCATGAAACCTTAAGTTCCCGAACTAGGTCCCAACCACTGAGCCCGAAACCCTACCCACTAAATCCTATAGAAGCCATTCACGGTAAACTGTCAAACCTAAACCCTCTAAATCCCCATGAGGGTCCATGTACCCGTAGCTCAGCAGTATATACTTTGGCCACAATGTTCCTATATACTTCAGGCCAAAGTATTTACTATTTCGGTACATGAACCCTTAAACCCTAAACCCTAATGTGGTGCCTTGTGGTAGCCTTATAGAACCTTGACAGGAACCCTGGCAGGAACCCTTACAAGAACACCATCTGGGTATACATTCGAAGCCCTAAGAAGCCCGTCGCTAAGCCTCGCCGGCCGCGTCCCCAGAAGCCTTTGCTGCCTTGGAGGAAGCCTCCGCAGCATCGACGGCCTCGGAACTTACTGGAGGGCCTCAGGGTTTAGGGTTTAGGTGTGTAGGGTTTAGGGTTTAAGGGTGTAGAGTTTAGGGGTTTAGGGGTTGGGGTTTAGGTATAGGCTGTAGGGTGCATTACAGAGTTCTTACGAGGGTTTTGAGGTGTAGGGTTTAGGGTTGGTTTAGGGTTGTCAGGGCTTAAGGTTTGCCTTAACCCACCGAAAACCACCTTGTTTGTAGGGTCCCTATACAATCCATGTTCGGTTAGGGTCCAGGGTGTAGGGGTTTAGAGTTTAGGGGTTCCTGCAGGGTTTAGGGTTCAGGGGTTTAGGGTTTAACGCTCTTAGGGGTCAAGAGTGCCCTACAAAGTTCTTACAGGGGTTTAAGGTTTAGGAATGTATTGGAGGGCCCCAGTGGCCATACCGAGTTCTTATACAGGATCTTTGAGGGTTCCAGCAGTTCCTTTGCAGACGCTTCTTCATAATGGAAGCCTCAACAGCTGTTCGGAACCGTCATGAGTTCTGAAGTTGGACGGCACCTTGGCGGGTGGCCCACTCAAGGGCCGTTGTCAGCTTCTGCTGCAACCTGCAGCTGACGTGCACAGCCGTTGAGGCGCGCAAATGTTGTAATGCACAGGAGAACAGGCTGTCGCAACAAGGGACGCAGTCAACTCTAATGACTCTTCGCAAGGCTGTCGCCGCAAGCAGCAGCCCTTTGAAATGCTTGGATGAGGATTTTCGCCACTTCAAGGGAATGAATGGTCCGACGTGCCTGCAGCTGCTTGCACCGCAGCTGCAGGATCTGGACGCAATGAAGTTCTCCAGCTGCTCAGGAACTCAGCGAGACACCATGAGCTCGTCGTACTGAGGATAAACGGCAAGACTGGTTGTCTTGAGAAGCTCAGCCCAGCGTCTGCAGGCGCCTGGGAGAACTTGGTCTGGAGCAATGTCAACTTGGCGTCCTCAGCCTGCTTGCGCTTGGCGTCCTCAGCCTGCTCGCGCTGGGCCTCCGCTGCCCCATCTAGCCGGGTAGGGTTTGGGGTTTAGGGTTTACGGCTTAGGGGTTTAGGGTTTAGGGGCTGGTTGAAGCGGGAGAAATGCCGCCTTGTTTGCGACGCAAACTTCCATAGGTTCCGACTCGTGAGGCTTCAAGTGTCGCAGGATCGAGCGTGACACGTTGGGACGCAAGAGGACGTGATTACAAACTACCCCTCGCTGTACTGGATTCCTAGATTGATTGAAGTTTAATTCAGGTGTAGAGTGTTTTGCTTACAGCTTTACGGTGTTAAAGGCCAAGATTTGGGGTTTGCGTCTTAGAACTTGGGGGTGGGGTGTAGAATATAGGGTCCCGGTCCAAATGATCCTCAAGAGTAGGGAGCCTGTACACCGTACTCTTGTACTATGAATCCCTATACTACATGCCCAAAGGGTCCTGGGTACTGTTATGAGGGGTATTTCCCTAAGTCATAATTGTAATTCCTAGTATGGAAACCCTACATTCTACTAAATATCGGTACATAGGACCCTTTGGGATAGTACAATGCACTCCATGCCGTATGTCGGACAGCTAAGTAAAGGCTTCGTGACGAAAGAACTGAACTGAAAAAGCCGAAGGTGCTTGGAATCAAACACAGGCTTACTGCAAAACGTATACGGGTCTATTCTAGCACTGGTATTAGGATAAGGAACCCGCCCAAAGAACCCCATTGTATATTACGTATACAGGCTTCTGGTCAATCCTACAGGCCCATAGGACCCAACAACACGGAACTTGGGTTTAGGATGGACAAAATCCTGCATGACCCTAAGGACTCTAAACTATGGGAATTATGGTATCTTCCTTGTAATGGGTAATGCAGGATTTATATCCCTAAACCCAAAACCCTATAGATCACTTAAAGGAGCCCCTTAAAGGTACCCTTATAGGATTTTGTCCATCAGCAGTAGTTATCTAGGTTACTACGTGTCGGAGCATATGATTATGAGGTACTTGGACCCTGGACCCTCCCCTCTGCTTTAGGGCTTTGGATTGAGGGTTTTAGAGGGTGTGAGGCTGTTAGCGCCTTAGGGTTTACGGGTTTAGGGTGTTGGGGTTTGTGGTTATAGGAATTATAGGGTAAAAGGAGGGACCCTTAATAAGGACCACTAGGTATATACCCTTGATATAGCTGTTATATACCCATTATATAGCCCATTATAGGGTAGGGGTCCCCATTAAGGGTCCCTCCTTCTCCCCTTTGATATATAGTAAAAGCCAGAAAGTTGGAATATGATTATCCTAAGCCCTTTATGGTCAATTATAGGGTATCCTACCCTGAAAACATATTCCAACTTTCTGGAGTTCCCTTTAACCTCGAAAAGCACTCCAGCTAGCCGTACTTCAGGCTTTGACCTCCGGGAAAGCTTGGAGTTCGCGGGAAACCTTGAAGTCTGGACACCGATAACTCAGACCTGTAGCCGAAAGACCTACATATATATAATACAATATTATATATATATATAGCATATATATATATATATAAAGCCTACTATATATATATATATAGGCATATACAGTTCTTCAAAAAGGTAGGTGTGTTGGGCCACAAGGCATGGGTAGTTCTCTAAAAAAGGTCCTTGTATACCCAAACAGCTCCCGACCTCCTGGAGTCTTCGTATCTCGCCGGAGCCCAAAATAGAAGAGACCTGTCGGGAAGGGTGCTGGGTTAGGAGTTTAAGGGTTCAGGGGTTTACAGTTTAGCGGTTTGGGGTTTAAGGTTCAAGGGAATCCTAAGAAAGCCACAAAAGCCAAAAAGTAAACTACTGCTATGTCAGGGGCCTGGCAAATAAGGGAGCCTAAAAGACAGGACCGGGGGTTGGGGGTTCATTGCGGTGACCTAGACTAGACCTAAGAGTAACCTAGGAAGAAAAAGGGTGCCCTTTTTGGTTTAAAGGGGGTTTATAAGGGAACCTAAACCCTGAAAAGGGAATAAGGGCCTACTCTGGAAACCTACGGAATACTCTGGCACTTTGTGCGGCCTCTTTATGACACACAAAATGCGCTGATCCTGAAAATTTACTTTTTGCTGCTGGGCTTTAATACAAGACGTGGGCATGCCAGGCACTCGGGCACATAAACCTACTGGTCGGGTGTCATGGGGAACTAAAGGTTAACCTTTTTGTTTATATAGGGGTTCAATAGGGACTATACTACCCAAAAAAAGCTAAAGGTTACCTACTCTACTACTAGGTAAATAGAAAACCTGAAACTCAATGCTGGATAAAGTAAGGGATGTAAAGGCTTCTTCTGATCGCAACCAAGCACTCTCTTGCCGGGGGTTTAGGGGTTAAAGTGCACGGGATTCATATAGGGATCTTAATAATTAGATTGGGGTTTTGGGGTATATTATACTAAAATATGATGTGGAACCCCAAGAATAGTATTGGTAATCCCTATAATCCCTAAACCTCTAAACCTTAAACCCTGAACCTCATCCTTAAACCTCTAAACCTCTAAACCTTAATTAAACCCTCAACCCAGTAGCAGTGGAGCAGGTTCCAAGTCTCGAAAGCCCACCCGAGGCTGCTGGGCGCATGATGGTTAATGGTTTAGGGCTCAGGGTTTAGGGTTTAGGGTTAACGGCTTGGGGCTACTTGAAGACGGCGGGGACTCAGTAACTGCGGCATGTGCGGGATCAAGCTAGGATAGCCCCACTTCGGGTACCTATGAGACCTATGAACACAACAGTAATGCTATCTGCAGAAATTAGCAGAAACTTGCTAAGCCCTGCAACCCCCAGAGACTCCAGTATAGGAATATACCTTAAATCTTATTAGGGCTCCTATGACAATTTGAGGTCCTCTGTTGCCACCTCTCCCCAACTACCTTACCCTAAACCCTAAAACCCGCAACCGAGAGCCCCAAAGCCCCAAGACTTAAGTGCTCTAAAGCCCAGAAAAGCCCAAAGAGATTTCCTCAAACTTAACCCCCCCCCCCCTGGCCCCCCCCCCGAAGCCCTAAACCTCTTTAAAACCCAAACTTCAAGCCGGAAACTATCATCCTACGGTTGATGATATAAATCCTGCATTACCCATAATAAGGCATATACCATAATTCCCATAGTTTAGGGTCCTTAAGGTCATGCAGGATTTATATCATCATCCTAGCACCCTGTAGCTCTCATCCTCAAACTGCCCCTGCCAACCCTGAAAACTCGACTTGAATGCTTAAATTTTTAGTTGTCAAAATTACGGTCCCTTTTGGGGTACCCTAAGTATTAGGTGCCGTAGTATATATCAAGGACCCAAAAAAGGGACCCTAATGCTGACACCCAAATAAAACCCCAAATTACCTACTGAATGCGAACACGCTCTAAGGAGCCCTTCAACAGAACCCTTCAATAAAACGAAACTCTCAACCCAGAGACTCCAATATCCCTTAATTCAGGAATACTCTCTAAGTCATATTAAGGATCCTACTATAATTTAAGGTATAGTCCTTAATTAAGGGGTATTGGAGTCTCTGGGAAACCAGCAGCCCGGAAGTGCTAAACCCGAAAACCATGAAGCCTATATGCACACAAGTCCCAGCACCCCTGAACCCTGAAACCCAAACCACCAAAGCAAAACCCCCAAAACCCGAAACCCTATAATCCCTAAACCCCAAACCCAAAACCCTAGAATCCCTAAACCCTAAGCAAGAAGGTACGGCTTCGGTAGGAAAAAAGATCAAGGGGGGGGACTTGCCTCGCCCGCCTGCGAAGATGAGGTTTCGCCGTTGCTCAGTGCCTCAAGCCGTAGCAAATTATACACCAATCAAAGGGGAAAAGGAGGGACCCTTAATGTGGACCCCTACCCCATAATGGGCTATATAATGGGTATAGAATGGCTATATTAAGGGTATATACCTAGGGTCCTTGGTAAGGGTCCCTCCTTTTGCCCTTGTACCAAATATACACCCACACACCTACACCTATGTATGTATATTTATGTGCATGCATATGTAGTTACATATCCACACATATGCAGACTGGTTTGTTT